TTCAACACCTCCACATTGTTGTGCAAGCATGCCCATTATCGACCTCTAGAACTTCTTTATTATCCCAAACTGAATCTCCACACCCATTACATAACAACTCCCCATTCCTCCTGCCCCCGCTCCTGGTAACTTCTGTTCTACTTTCTGTGTCTATGAATTTGCCATTCCAGGTACCTAAGTTGAATCATATAATATTTGTCCTTTTGTGTCTGGCTTATTTCATTTAGAATAATGTTTTCAGTGTTCATCTGGTAGCATGTGTCAGAATTGCCTTCCTTTTTAAGGCTGAATAATATTCCATTTTAATGGCTATTCCACAGTCTGTTTATCCATTTATCTGTCCATGGACATTTGGGCCTTGGTGCCTAGAGATGCAAAGGGAAATGGACCAGTATTCCTCAGGCTTTCCTTAAACCATCCTTCGTCAGGCATGAAACTCACCCACGGTACAGACTGTGGTGTGCGCCCTCAGTGAGCACCCTGCCTTAGAGTTTGTCTTCTCTGTGATCCCACCAGCCCCAAAGATCCCAAAACCCAGTGTCCCCAAACCCAGTGTTTCATCTGCTTCCCAAATGTATCGTTACCTTTATAATTGAGTTGGGGGGCGGGGTGGGGGGGGGAGGGTGTCTGTCCTGTCTTGGCTACTGGAGATTGACAGCTGGCTGTGTGCTCCCTTCCACACTCTAACCCCTGTGTGTGTCCAAGCCTTGGGGCGCTAACAAGCATCTTGGGCCTCTGAAAGGTATCTGTCCCCACAAGATGGGCCCAGACCACTGGCGGGCACAGTACCCTGGCCACTAGTAGGGGGGCGTTACCAGGTGGTGAGCAGAAGGGCTCCTTATGCAAGGCCATGGCCACATCTGACCTTGAGGTAACAGGATGGATGTGGGCTCTTGGCAGTGGAGATTGCTCATCCAGCGGGGACAGGACGGTCTGGCTTCTTACCTGTCTCTGTGGCCCTCCTCACTCCCTTCCCTCAGCCCATGGCCTTTATTGGAGTTGGCTTCCGTGGGGGACCAGGACCGTGTCCTACACCATTCCTGCCACACACCTTGGCTCTTGGCACTCAAGGGCTAGGATGGTGATTTCTTTGTTCTCTAGTTCTCCTCGGACAATCTTCCTTTAAGGCAATATTTTCAAACTTTTTGGACTGTTACATACAACAAGACTTAGATTTTACATTAAGTTGCGGTACACCTCCATAAATATATATGTGAAAATACAATCAAAAGTTTTAAGTAATAGTACTTTTCTGACAAAAGACGTACTCTGAGATTTTCTTCTCTAGTCTGCCCTGTCATTAAAAAGACAGATTGGTCCACTGACTCAACTGATGTCATGGCCCTCTATTGGGTCCCAATGAGTAGATTGAAACTCACCACCGTGCAGTCATGGGACACTGTGGTCTAGGAGTGTGGGGTAGAGTTGTGTGGGTGAGGCTTGAGGAAACAAGTGACAAATTGCCATGGGGAATGGAAGAGTAGGTTTATTCCTCTTCACTGAGTCTTTCCGTCTGGAGGATCACCTCATGTCTTCAGCACCATTCCCACGAATGCCTGCTGGCCCCCAATTCTGCAGAGCAACCTGGGGAGAGGGCATATTCCCCCCTCCCGCCCCAAACCCCAGCATGAGCTGTGAGCTCTTCTGTATCTTTAATTATTGAGTCTATTATATGTGCATAAAACCACATCTCTTAAGGCCAAAATTAATTAGCAAGGACAGGACAAGTCTAAATTCATGATGAGGAAGGAACTGTTTCCTAATTAGCAGCGTGCCTTCCCTTTTCGTGGCGCCTGTCAGGCATGTGATTGTGTTGAGTTGCTGTTTCATTTCTTTCTTGCTCCTCTTTGGGGCTCTAGTGCCCATCGGTGACCCCTCAGTGTCATCCAGAGGGTCCAGAGTTGGCCCTTCTAACCAGGACTTAGAGATATCCAGTTGAGGGCCTTTGTTCCTGTCATCCTCGGGGAAGGCAGGAAATGGAAAATATTTAAAAGCCATTTTGCACAGGGCTTGGCACACAGACACTACGTAATTAATACTAGTCAGAGCACCGGGAAGTGCTTCCAGCTGCACAGATCAGGAGAGGCTGCAGGCGGAATTTTCCATGTTACTCCTGTAGGTCCTAGGACAGTGATGGCGAACCTTTTGAGCTCGGTGTGTCAGCATTTTGAAAAACCCTAACTTAACTCTGGTGCCGTGTCACATATAGACATTTTTTGATATTTGCAACCATAGTAAAACAAAGACTTATATTTTTGATATGTATTTTATATATTTAAATGCCATTTAACAAAGAAAAATCAACCAAAAAAATGAGTTCGCGTGTCACCTCTGACACGCGTGTCATAGGTTCGCCATCACTGTCCTAGGAATTGATAGAGGAGGGGACATAGATGCTTAGATGGCATCTTATATCCTTTCCAACCCCGTAAAGAAGACACTCATTATAATTAACTTGTTGCCGAGGGAACTAAGGCCTGGAGATGCTATAAGCCCCACCTCAGGTCACACAGCAGTGGCTGTTATTTGAATGACCCCAAAGCCGTGTGTCTACTTCCTGCTGGAGCCACACCAGCATGGCCCACAAGGAGACTTAGAGTGGTTCCGCCAGGGCAGACCCGGGCCATTTTGATAAGGAAACTGGTGTCCCACCCAGGACATCCCTCCCCCTGTGCTTCCTGTCATCCCCTCCATTCGTTGATGCACAGCCGTATTGTGAATGCAGTCTTATGGCGTTCTCTGAGAACAGTGATTCCATCCTCTGGTGAGGAAGTGAACGTGCAGCCAACGTGGAAAAGGACCCATTCATTCAGTGCCCAGTTACTGGGGACCTCGCTATAGATGGGGTTACTAGCATGGTAAGGCATGGTGTCTGCCCCCTTGAGGGTTCATGGTCCAGTTGGGAGGACAGCCATAGAAAGCACACAGTTATCCTGCTGTCTGCTACCTGTGGTCACAGCTTACGACTATAAGGGAGGCTTATCAGAGGAGAAAATGAGCTGGGTATTGAAGAATCAGTAGGAGTTCACGAAATGCTTCCGGGTGGGGCACAGAGGGGAGGGGAGGGGTAGTAGACTTACGTTTAATGAGTATGCTGTGTGTTGGGCACCTCACTCATCCTATCTTTTTTTTAAAGTTTATTTATTTATAAATATATTTTTATTGATTTCAGAGAGGAAGGAAGAGGGAGAGATAGAAACATCAATGATAAGAGAGAATCATTGATCGGCTGCCTCCTGCACGCCCCACCCTGGGGATCAGGCCTGCAACCCGGGCATGTGCTCTTGACCGGAATCGAACCTGGGACCCCTCAGTCCGCAGGCTGACGCTCCATCCACCGAGCCAAACCAGCTAGGGCCACTCATCCTATCTTGTCTAATTTTCGCTGTGGGTCTGATCTCACCACCACAGTGTCAGTTCTGGTTGTCTACCCCGATCATTCTGCGTTACCTTGTCCCAGCCCTCATGAACACATAGACCTGCTTTGGGATAGCCTGCTTCAGACAGACCCCTTCAAGGCCAGGGTAAGCTGGATCTTTTCAAGTCTGAGATAGCCTGGCTGGCATGGCTCAGTGGTTGAGCATTGACCTATGAATCAGAAGGTCGAGGTTCGATTTCCAGTCAGGGCATATTGCCGGGGTCGGGGGCTCAGTCTCCAGTATGGGGTGTGCAGGAGGCAGCTGATACATGATTTTCTCTCATCATTGATGTTTCTATCTCTCCCTCTCCCTTCCTCTCTGAAATCAATCAAAATATATTTAAAAAAATAAAAATTGAGATAAAATTCCCATGCTCTAAAATTCACCATTTTAACTATTTAAAGGTGTACATTTTAAATAGTTTTTAGTATATTCACAATGCTGTGCAATCATCATCGCTCTCTAACCTCAGCCCATTTCGTCACCCCAACAAGAAACCTCTGTTAAGCATTCACTCCCCATTCCCATCTCCCCCCAACCCCTGGAAAGTACTTATCTGTGGATTTGCTTATTCTGGACGTTCATGTAAATGGAATCCTATAATATGTGGAGGTGGATGGCTTTAAAAAGAAAAATGGAATTTTTTTGTGTGTGAATATAAAGCCATTTATTTTCATTCTTCCTGTAAATTTTTGTCCATTTGAAGTTTTATAATTCTAAAGTTTATGTCCTCAGGCAAAAGGCATTGTGGGGAGAGACAGACAATGAATTGCTAAATTTCTTTAAAACCTTCTTTAGCAGATTAAGGTCCAGGACTCAGCTTAAAATTTTTGCCCAGCTCAGATTGTGGAGAAAATTGACCTTTAAGCTATAAAACTTACTTTTCACTGATGAAAAGGAAATATGACCTGGAAAGAAGCCGCAGAAGTGAAAGTAAAAATCAGTATCATTTTTTGTTGTTTTTTTTTATTTAGTGAAAATGAGCATATCCTAAATTAATAGTTTAAATTATTTAAACTTAGAGGACTAATTAGTCTGCTCGGGCTGCCATAGCAAAATACCACAGATTGTGTGGCTTTAACAAGAGGAACTAATTTCTTACAGTTCCAGGGGCTGGGGAGTTCAAGATCAAGGTGCTGGCCTATTTGGTTTCTGAGGAGAGCTCTCCTCCTGGCTTGCAGATGCTTCCTTCCTACTGGGGACTCACATGACACAGAGAAAGCAAAAAATGGAATCTTTTCAATGAAGATCATTCATTCTTAGAGTCAGAAAATGTGCAATTGAAAAATTTCATTTAGAAAATCTGGAATAACGATTACAAATCATTAAGAAAAGTCAGCCTGGGTGTTTTCCTTTAAAAACAGCCTTCTGATGGGCTGCTGCTTCTCCATCCCGGAGGTGGGAGAGGAGTCGGTGACTGGCGCTGGGCATCCATGCGGACTGGTGGGGTCCTCAGGGCAGCCGTTGGTTTGTAAGGTTTCCTTTGGCAGGTGAGCTGCAGTGCGTGTCTGAGAAGCTGCCCTCTGGATGGGAGGGGCAGGGGTGGGACCGTCTCTCATTCCCTCTGTGTGTCTCTCACAGGGGTGAAGAAGAGAACCAAAGTCATCAAGAACAACGTGAACCCTGTGTGGAATGAGGTATGCGCGTTTCTTCACCCCCTCTCCTCTCTCTGCCGCCACTGCCTCTGTAGGGACAAGTCAGGGGCTCGTGCCGGAGGGGCTGGTGGTCCCATGTGCCAACTAAGTCCTCCTGGCGCTTGGAACCTGGGAGGACGCTGGTGGCCTGGCATGCCAGGCAAACAGAGGTGGGTGTGGCCTGGGGAGGAGTAAGTGTCTATCTCTGTTCCCTCCAGCTCTGTCCGCCAGGTAGAGGGTGGTTAGGGGCTCCCTTGCCTGTCTTGTCTCCCTTACACAGGCCATTCTCCCTGCCCAAAGCCCACCTCTTTCCCATCGAGCTCCCAGATGCACCAGGTCCTCCTCTGGCTCCTGCTGGCCCCTTGCCCTTAACCAGCTCCCTTCCTAGGCCTCCCTGGTGGTCCTTGGGAAGCCCTGGATGCCTTCAGCGGATGGGGCTGGGATGGGCAGGGGAGCCTCTGCTCTGAGGAAGGTCCGGGGCCTCTGGCTGGGCTTCCCCAATGTGGCACTAACTCCCGCTGCCCAGCAGGGAGGGGCCTGGCTTCTGATGAGCACATTGGTCTTGGCCCCTGAGGACGCGGCAGGCTCCCCGGGCATTTTCCCCAGCGGTGCTTCTAGGCCTGGTGATTGGTGGAATTGAATTGGGGAGGGGGTTATGGGAGTCTGGCCTCCTCTCTTCTGTTGCCTTCAGCTCTCACTGTCACCCTGAATCTTGGGACCCTACCATTCATGTATTCATTCATTCACTCATTTACCCACCCATCCACCAGCATCATTTATGGATGCCTGCTCAGTGCCCTTGGATGACCAGGGTGAACGAGACAGTCTCTTCTCCTCGGGGGCCATGGGTTAAGGGTGATGTCTTTTCTCCTTTTCTTCCAGGGCTTTGAGTGGGACCTCAAGGGCATCCCCCTGGACCAGAGCTCCGAGCTGCATGTGGTGGTCAAAGACCATGAGACGATGGGGAGGAACAGGTGAGGCGGGCAAGGGGGTCTCTGTGGCCTGCAGGTCCGGGTAGGCTCATGGTGGACATATATCCCACAGTCTGGGCCCGGAGAGCTGGTGTTTCAACTCAGCATTTGCTGAACACCTGCCTCTCCTGGCTGCCTGGCTGCAGCCTCAAAAACTCAGCCCTGGGTAAGTCCGAGCTGCCCAGGCTGCAGGGAAGGTGATGGGCTGGAATCAGGTGTGCATGTGTTTGCACAGACAGCCTGTGGCCAGGGGAGTAGGGAGGAGAAGGCACCCTGTGTCCTGCTCCAGCCCAGGGACACCTGGGCGTGGTTCTCTCTCCTTGCCCTGCCCAGACTGGAGAGGGCAGCGGCACACTGCGGGAGGCAGGCAGGCCGCCAGCAGGGAGCTCTCGAGGAAGGCTTCATGGAAGAGGTGGGCCTGGAGCTGAGATTTGTGGTTTGGACGTCGGAACGGTAACAACAGGTCCCCGGACTGCACTCCTCCCTGGTGGTGTTTTCTGTTGCTATTTCACTAGGTAGCGGGGAGGGTTGCCAGACAGAGGGAATAGCAGATGCAAAATTGTGGTGGCAAAAGCAGGCTCTCTGGTGATCCCTTCTCTTGGCATTGAGCTCCTGGGCCTTGTATGTGCTGGTGGTAGGGGTGGGGGGGTGGGCAGGACCAACGGAGCATGCAGAGGGTCCTGTTGATTGTGTGTGGCGGGGTAGAGCCATAACCTCCCATCGCCTGCCCTGAGTGTGACAGTGCGGCGCCCCAACCCCTGATCGGCCCTGCTCTGTGGGTGATAGAAGGCGTGCCCCAACCCCCCTGATCCGCCCTACTCTGTGTG